AGGCGGGCGCGCAGCAGTGCCTGCTGCGGGCGTGTGAGGCTGAGGGTGCGCACCTCAGCTCGGTGCCCTTCGGGGAGCTCGACTTCGGGGAGACTGCCGTGCTCGACGCCTTCTACGACGCAGGTGAGGAGGCGCCCTCGCCCCACGCCCGCCGCCCTTCCCTCCCCCACCGCGCCCTCGCGGCCCCTGAATCTCCTCACGGTCCGCGCTACCTTCTGAGGAAACGCAGCGTGGGGAGCATTACCCCATTTTACAGATGAGGAAAAAGAGGCCGCTGCCATCGAGAGCGCTTGACTCTCGTTGACCGGACTACCCAAAAAGCCGCCTTTAATCTAGAAGATACTAGCCCGGTCCCCACCAGTTGCCGGCGTGTTGCTTACGGCGTTGGCGCCCAGCCCCGGCCTTCATTAGAATCACCTGAGGAGTGATTTTTTCCCCCCTCAACTTAACGCTTTTAAAACTCCCGAAGCCCAGACCACATCCAGGCTGGGGACTTGCGACTAAGGCTTCAGGGTGGCTTAAGGCTGCCAGGTGGTTCCATCCTGCAGCCGCGAGCGCACCTCTGTGCTCTAATTGTGTGCCCGCGCGCCCTTGCAGAAATGCCGCAGCGTTCTCGTGCACCTTGGAAGGGGGCTCTGTCACCGGGGTGACATATTTTAGCCCACCGTGCAGAAGCCTGAGGTGGGGGTTCCGGGTGGCTACGCGCACTGTAGTGAGTGTGCCGTAAGAGCCGCCTTGGAATCGGTACTTTGGCTTGAAAAGTTTCCCCAGATGTGGAACCAGTTGTTGCCCGGCCTTTGGGCTCACCGAATCTTTGTTATCTGTGTGACGAGCCTCTGGCGCTTGGGTGACAATCATAGGCATTGTGCGCGAGACAGTAATTACCGGAGAGTCCTTGTGCCTTGGTTTTGCACCGCTCGGAAGGGCTGACGAACGCTTCCCCCAAAGGAAAAAGGCGCGTGAGGAGGTAGAAGGGGAGCCGCGCGGCGCGGCTCCGCGAGGGCTTATTGCTGCCCTTCCCGGGAGCAACGGCGGTCTGTTTTCTGCAGAGCAAATCCTCCCCAGCTGGAGGGGGCAGGGTATCCGGCTTGTTCAAACAACTGGCACCTGGACCGGAGGAAAACACTCTCGACATTTCTGCCGGCTGAGTACTCTTGAGCACAGCGTCTTTTTTGCAGAGTTGTTCAGGAGCCCACTTCTCTGGGAACTACCCACTTTTCTCAGCTTCTTTTCAATTGGCTCCAAATTTGGAGTTTGAACTATCTGAACAGTTAATTGTCCCTTTCGCTGGAAGGAACAGCTAACTGAGCCGCTTGCCTGCCCGTGCCAACCCTGGAAAAATTTGTGTCCAGTGACTTTGCATCCGTGGGAGGGGGGGAGTTTGAGGAGGGTGGTTGTGTATGTTTGGGGGGAACCATCCTTCGTCTCCTAGCAGAATCCCTTCCTGCTGGTGGACCGTGGAGGTTCAGTTAGTCGGGAAGCTCAGGCTTTCAGTTCCAGAGCTATACCACAGACAGACCATCTTTTCTTACTGTATGTCGAAGCTGCCTAGAAGTTTGAGCTGTATCCGTGTGCTTCCTTTGGTTAACCTTGGCTTGGTTGGTGTGGTCGTGACTGAATCATTGCTTAGCATGTTATGGCAACTAACAAATTCTTGTCAGGTTTCACACAGAATGCAACGACTCCAGTAAGTGGGTTTATGAATTAATCACATGGCGGACCCCTCCTGGCTTCCTTATCTGTACTCACATCTTTTTGGCCGGATATATAATCTATCATTTTGAGGTCTTTCTAGAAAGTCCTAAGGCCACACTATTCCATATGGCAGCCACTAGCCATAGGTGTCTATTTACCTTTGGTTAAAATGCAATAAAATGGTCAGTTCCTTGTTTGCATTAGCTGCATTTCAAGTGCTTGCTAGGCACAGTGACAGTATTGAGCATTTTCCTCATTGCACAAGGTTCCCTTGGACAGGGCTGTTCTAGAACGTTGTGCAGAGGGGAACTATTAAGCTGTTCTGACTCTGTTGTGGCAGATCAGAGAGGTAAGCCTCGAACTTTAAGCACATGCTAACCTTCCTCGAAGCAAGGCAAGGCTGTGCTTGAGTGTGTTGCCACCTTTGTCCAGTTTACAAGGCCCTGTGCACGGCTAGACTGAAGGTGCCCTTCCCAGTGTCTCAGCGGTTTGCTGCTGTGGGGGCCAGACAGGTGTTCATCCTGAGCAATAACAAGTGGACCTGCTGTGGGCCACAAGGGGTGAGTGGGGACTCTCTTACAGTTTAAAGAATTGTGGTAAAAGAGATGAAACAAACTTGCCTGTTTTAACCATTTTAAGCGCGCCTTTCAGTGCGTGAAGTACATTCACAGTTAGTGTTAGTACACCACCGATATCCTGCCTCAGTTTTTTCCATCATCCTAAACAAACTGTATCCCTTAAATACTAATTTGCCACTCCTCTTCCCCAAGCCCAGGGTAACCATTATTCTACTTTCTAGAAATTGCCTGTTTAGATATTTCAGATAAGTGGAATCACAATATTTGCCCTTCTGGATCTGGCTTATTTCACTTAGCATCATGTCTTTAAGGTTACACTATGCATCTCGTGCCAGCTGAGTGATCTCAAGCATCCGCTGACAGATTTTGGTGGTTTTGATCTTTGCGCTGTCAGGAATAGTGCCTTCATCACCACGGGTCTACATGTATCTGTTTGGGTCTCTGCTTTCACGGCTTCTGCATATATGCTGAGAAGTAGGATTGCTGGATCATGTGATAATGCTGTTTAAGTTTTTGAGTAACATCCCTTCTGCCGTTAGCTGGGGAGAGGGGAGGTGGTCATCTTTGTATACCTTGGGCCCAAATTTGATAGTTGTGATTCAACACTTACCCTTGGAGATGGATGACGATGCAAAAAAGCATGTTCATTTCCCCCCTCTCTGCCTTCTCCCCCGTGGTATGCTTTGACTCCTTTCGCGTAAGTGCCCATCTTCCTGCTTTCCCAGCAATCACAGTCCTCCGCAGCTAGCTTCCGGGTGTGGAACGTGTTTACCTGGAGCTGCTGCCTCTGCCTTTTAACTGCTGTCTCTCCCTCCTGGAGATTCACAGTGCTTGTGAACGCAGCCAAAACTGAGGTGTCCTGCAGGAAACCTGTGCGCCTCCATCTCACACTTTCCCAAGTGTTTGATTGTGGACATCCTGGCTCACAAGACACTCCGATCGAGTATGCTGGTTGCATATCTGATTCATAGCTAAGGTCCAGTCTCCTGAATACGATCCATCTATCTCCTGGGTGCACCTCCACCTGTCGATGCACGTTTACTCCCTGCTGTGGTGGTTGGTTAATGGCTGGTCTGAGTGAGGGCCTTCACCATTATGCTGATTCCAAGCCTTCTTGACTTTGCTACTAACTGTTCAGAGCAAGCAAAGCCCCTTGGGCAGGCCCTCTCCCACACTTCCTGGGGCACAAGTTCCCTGCACACCTGTTGAGTCTGGCCGTGCCTCACTTCCTTCCTCTCTGAACTTCATTTAAGTGCTGCTTTCCTGAGCCAGGGCCTCTGCTTCTCACTTTTTCCTCATTTATGTCTGCAGTAATTTTAAAAGGTGGGAGCTGTTGCCACCTGCAACAGGAGTCTTTGTATGAATATTCTCTAAACCCTGATAAAAAGACAAAGACAGGGTTTCACTGTCCAGTGTAGCTATATCCTGCAGATAACATTTTTCCTGGTTGGCTCGCACAGGAGTCATTTGGATACTGCAAAGTGTGGCAAAGCTGGTCATGTGCCCCGCAAAGACTAGTGCTTCTGGTTGTATTTGGGAAGTAGGGACCGCATTTTCCAGCACCTCTTGACTCTAGGTAGCACCTGTGACTGGTTCTGGCCCATGAGATGTAAGCAGGACTGATGTCTGTCACCTCTGGCCCCAGGTGCTGGCATGTCTGTACTCTGTCAGCCCTTTCTGCATTCTCCCTGGGGAGCTTCATTTGGGAGGTGGCAGTGGCATAAGACGAAGACACTTGGCTCCTCGAGTCATTCCCTGGCAGAGAGCAGTGTGTATCCTCTTTGCTTTTTGCATAAGCCAGAGAGAAGCTGAATTTGCTCCGGCTGCTACCACTTGGGGTTTTCTCAGTGGTCAGAGACTCCAGGTTGGCTTGTGAAAATCTAGCCCTCAGGCTAAAAATAAATGCCTCTTGGAACCTGTTTTTGTAAGAGAAAGTCAGGCCATCTATCATTGCATATGGTGGAGCATCAGTTTATAATACATGCTGATCGTGAGCCTCACCCTGTGCTGCTGTGGGCTAAGGAATTCAGAAATGAGGTGCTCACATGAGCTCGAGGCGGTCGTTACCCATGGAAGCCTGGGGCAGTGTCTGTTGTGGCAGCCTAGCTTAGCTGACCAGTGGGGCTCCCTGTGCATTCTGCTAGAAGTGGCAGAGAGCGTGTCTCGGCTAGCATTAGTGGTCTAACTCTGGTGTGTTGGCTTCTGTTCAAGAAGTAGCCTGAAAGGTGCCTTATACCTTCTATGGCTTGGCACGTGTTGTTTCCTCAAAAACAGTTTTGGATATGTAAAAACTGAAGGTTTAAATTGAAGATACTCTGGTGAGATGTGGGTGATGGTGATAAAATATTCACTTCATTTGCCATGCATATATGCTCTGCAAGTCTCTTTCCAGCAGGTATTGCCTGCCTTCCTGTAAGTAAACACTGATGGGTAAACCATCAACCTAGCAATTTCAGCCAGAAAGCTGCCAGTCTTTCCCTCATTGCCAAATCTTGTCCATTGCTTCCCAAAATGGTCCTCCAATCTGCTTTCCTTCCCTCTATGTGCCCCTGGTACCATCTTGGTCCAGACATTGTCTTCTCTCACCCATGTTCCTGCCAACAGTTCTGTAACTGGCTTCTCAAGGTTGGACCAGGCTTGGCACATTTAATCCATGCCATCCACCAAGAAGTCCTGTGTGCTGGCACCTAGGCCAGCCCACGCCTGTCCTCTGTCCACAGCTGGCTCAGCCTTCCCACCTCAGCTCCTCCAGGAAGCCTTGGTAGGCTCCTCCCAGATTTCTGTCAGCTGTGTGCACACTGAGTCTTGCTTTCCTAGCAAGTAGCACTATTTTCTATTTTAATTGTTTAA